GCTGGCCAGGGACCTCGTAGACAAAAGGGCAGGGTGGGCTTGCTGTGTGCAGCCTCAGTGAAACAAAGGAACTCCTGTGCAGTTGCACTCACCACTTTGTCCCCATACTCTCAGCTCCAAAGCAGGCTGAGTTGGGGGATCCTATGACCCGCAGAAGGGAAGGGGTGCCTGGGAGCAAACTGGGATGGGATTGGAAGAGAGAGGCAATAGTGGGGGAGAGAAGCCCTTACTGAATGACCAGAAGGTTTAGGGGTTAAAGGGTGTCTTTGCTCCCTTTCTGGGGCATCTGTCACACCTGTGTCTTCTTGTAGGTGAATTGAGTCCATTGATATTAATGACCGGTGATTGTTAATTCCTGTTACATTTGTTTTTGTTGTTTGTGGTGGTAGTGTTTGTGTGTTTCCCTTCTTTGGGGTTTGCTGGTGTGACGTTATATGTTGTGTATGTATTGTGGGTACAGTTAACTTTCTTGGGTTGAAGTTTTTCTTCTAGTACTTTCTGTAGGGGTGGATTTGTGGATAGATATTGTTTAAATATGCTTTTGTCATGGAATATCTTGTTTTCTCCATCTATAATAATTAGCTTTGCTGGGTATAATAGTCTGGGCTTGCATTCGTGGTCTCTTTGTGTCTGCAGCACATCTGTCCAGGACATTCTGGTTTTCGTGGTTTCCACTGAAAAGTCAAGTGTAATTCTGATAGGTCAGCCTTTATATGTTACTTGACCTTTTTCCTTTGCAGCTCTTAATATTCTTTCTTTATTTTGTATGTATTGTGTCTTGATCATTATATGGTGAGGGCCTTTTATTTTTTTGGTCCAGTCTATTTGGTGTTCTGTAAGCCTCTTGAACCTTCATAGGGATATCCTTCTTTAGGTTGGGAAAATTTTCTTCTATGATTTTTTTGTTGAATATATTTTCTGTGCCTTTGAGCTGGAGTTCTTCTATCCCTACTATTCTTAGATTTGGTCTTTTCATGGTATTCCAGATTTTCTGGATGTTTTATATTAAGAATTTGTTGAATGTAATGTTTTCTTTGACCAATGATCTCTATAGTACTTTCCTCACCTTCCATTTCTTGTATTCTGTTGGTTATGCTTGCCTCTGAAGTTGCCATTTGCTTATCCAAGTTTTCCATATCCAGAACTCCCTCAGTTTGGTTTTCTTTATTGCCTCTATTTCAGTCTTCAAGTCTTGATTGAACTGTTTGAACTGTTCTCTTCACCTGCTTGATTATTTTTCTTGGTTTTCTTTGAGAGAGTTATTGATTTCTTCCAATTTTTTGTTTGTCTTTTCCTCCATTTCTTTAAAGGAATTTTTTATTTCCTCTTTAAAAGTCTCCAACATCTTCATAAAGTTACATTTAAATCATTTTCTTCTGCTTCTTCTGGGTTAGGATGATCAAATCTTTCTGTTGTATGACCACTGAGTTCTAGTGTTAACATGTTGCTTTTTAGGTTGTTGAATGAATTCTTGCATTGGCGCCTTCCCATCTTTTCCTCAAATTGGTCCCAGCAGTGTGTCTGCCTCTTGGTCCAATCCTTGCAGTGGTTGCCTGTGTCTTTGAGAACTGTTCTTGGCCTGCTCTGTACTGTCATTCTTTGTGTCTCAGGGAGCCACTGAGGTCTCTCTTGGCCTTCTCTTCTTGATCTTGGTTTGATCTCTTGGTCCACTCTGTATAGTCACAGCTTGTGTTTCAGAGTTCATCTCTTGTTTCTCTCTCGTGTTCCTCTGTCTTGATCCTCTCTGTGTAGTTGCAGCTTGTGTTTCAGCATTCCTCTGAGGTTGCAGGGTTGGGGCATAGGAGGACTTGGGGGCAGAGTGGAACTTGTAGCTTCCAGAGTCTGATGGATGGAGTTGGGGTGTTGGAACAGCCTACATGCAGGAGACTTGCCTGCTGGCTGGCTAAAGAAGCTGAGGCAGGGTTTGTCCCAGTATGGAAGTCCTAGAGAGTGGGCTGTCCCACTGGGTGGGTGATAACTCACCTCTTGATCCTTTCTGTGTAGTAGCAGACTGTGTTTCAGAGTTCCACTGAGGTTGCAGGGGAGATAGGAGGGTTTGGGGGTGGAGTGGGACTAGTAGCTTGTTATTGACTATGTTCTTACATTGGTATTTAGGCATCTGGATTTGGGATAATATAGGTCTATGTTTTTAATTCTTGCCTTTTCTTTGTTGGATTGGTATTTTGTTCCTTTGTTTCTATTTCTTTTCTTGTCTTCTGACTTAAGTGACCAAGGGTTCTGGTAATTGGCAAATCTTCAGATCCAGTAGGATGTCTCCATTGATGTTTATCGGGCCTTGGGTGCCTAGAACTAGCCTGACCTCTTGTAAAGTCAAAGTCTGGGCCTATGGAGTTCATTTTTCTTACTGATATTTGCTGTCCCTGTGCCTATGGCAGTCTTTATTACAGCATTTATTTATATATTCGTTGAGTACCTTGATCATGTTTATTAATGCTTTTCTGAATTCATTATCTTATACATCATCTAAGTCATCTTTCGGTATGCTATTATGGGACTATTAATTTTTTGTGGAGTCTTATTGTTTTGGTTATTCATAATTGTATATTTGTTATGGGACCTAGGCACTTGGAATTAAGTCATTTATAGTAGTGTTTAATGTTATGACAGTCTTGCCCCTGCTTTGTTGAGCAGGTGTTTGAGACTCTGTTTCTAACTTTTAAGGAGGTTCATCGACTGTATGGTTCTTAGGATTCAGCCTGTCATCTATTCACTGTTGATGTTTGAATGGGTAATCAGAAGTATTCTCTGTTCATCTTGAGCCCAGTAAGGTTTCCAAGCTCAATAGCATTCCTTCTGTAAAGTTAGATGATTTTTGCAGTTAGTCCTTGGGAATCTGGAGGGAGGTGGTCAGGACAGTTGGTGCTTGTGGAGCTGGTAATGTGAGCATAGGATTCCATCAGAAGAGGAGTTATAGGAGGCAGCCATCAGGCAGACAGCATACAGTGGCACTCAGGTAGATTGTAGGGATGGGGAAGCTGGTGTGAGTGTTACAACTCTAGAGCTGCAGAGATTTCCTGACTTATTGGGAAGCCAGGCTATGCCTACAGCCACAGTAGGGTAGCACTGGAGGGGTTGAGCTGCAGTAGTTCTGGAGGTAGAACAGCAATAGGACAGCTCAGTCCTGGAGCGAAAGGTGTCCTGACTTGTCAGAAAGCCAGGCTACCGGAATCTGGGGTGCAGTGGGTGATGGTCTCCCTGCATGATATACCCTGCAATCATATTCCTCTTCTAGACATTCACTACAGCTGAGCTCTGCTCTGTTCCCCCTAGGAAATGTCCTAGCAGAGCTATCTGCTCCTTCTGCAGCCCAGAATGCTACGTCTACTACACTTCTGCAGGGGCTAAAGAGAAGCCCCGGCAGAAGTGTAGCAATCACCTCCTGCTCTGGAGAAAATTGTTACTTTTTATGCTCAGCCGCCTTGCTCAGTCCCCATAAGGAACATCCCAGCGAGGTTCTTCTGTTTTGTTCTGCTCAACCTTGCACACCCCTCCTCCTCACTTAAGGGAGCATCTCAGCATGGTTTTTCTGTTCAGTCCCCTAAGGGACATCCCAGCAAGGTTCTATTATTCTGTGCTGGCAAATGAAGATCTTCTTCACCCAAGAGTCTTTTTGAGGAAGAGATTTATTTGGGAAGGAGGAGTCCATGCTAGTGGCTGCCTCAACCAGGGTAGTGAAGGACAACCTGCAGTGGAACAGGCAGAGGTGCTTATATTGGGCTTCTTAGGGGTGGAGTTTTCCCAGGAAGAAGTATGATTCCGGGGACCCTTCTTGAAGTAGGGGTATGTGGAAGAGGTGCAGAAAGTCAGGTGTGGGCCACGTGGGCCGTCAGGCAGGGGTGGAGTGATTGGAGTAGCTTGTGTTGGTTTGGTGCCCCTTGCTCCAGAGGGGTGTTTTTTTTTAGTTAAAGGGATAGGTGATGTTTGTGGAGCAAGTCTCCTGTTTCTGTGTGGAGGAGTCAGGCGTGCACAGCAGGGATGAGTGTAGTTGGAAGGAGTGGGTGTAGTTGCTGGTGGGAGCCTACACTTCCTGCCTGTTGATGTGGGAAGAGGGAAAGGGCATTCGCCGGAGGTCGGTGGGGTTAGTAGCATGACGCTGGGGGTCCTATCTGTAGGAGGAGTTCCGGAAGGAGTGCAGGAAGGCAAGAGTCAGGCATTCAGTTATGGGGGCTGTATTAATTACTTTTCTATTGCTGTGATAAAACACCGTAAGTCAACTTAGAAAGAATCTCTTTGGGTTTGTGGTTCCAGAGGGACAACAGTCTGTGATATGAGAGGTGGACAGTACGCAGCAGGCGTGATGCCCGGACTGGAGGCCACACCTCACAAGCCACTTCGAACAGAGCCATGAACTCGGAACTAAGGGTTCAGATACATGAAGCTCTGGGACATTCTCATGCACACTGCCGCTGTGGCAATGCTATTAGCATATGCTGATATGTGCTGCCAGAAGGAGCATGAGATCATCAATATATTTTAAAAAGAGTTTGCATGATTTTGTATCTTGTCCAATTTCATACCAGTTATATATCTGTACATTGTAGTGTCTCTCTTTGCAACCGAGGCTAGCTTTGAACTTGTGATTACTCTACTTAAGCTTCCTAAGTGCTGAGATTGCAGACATACACTATGATATCTGGTTATTAGTTGTTTGTTTTTGCTGGAATTTTTACCCTTATTTTGTGTGTGTATATGTTAAATCACATGTTTGAAAATGTTTTATTTTATGTGTATAAGTGTTTTGCCTGCACATATGTATATATATCATGTGTATGCCTAGTTTCTGAGAAGGCCAGAGAGGGCAGATCCCCGGGATTGGATGTTGCAGACAGCTGTAAGCAGCCATGTGGTTACAGGGAACTGAATTCAGGAACCCTGCAAGAGCAGCAAATGCTCTCAAGCACTGAGCCACCTCCCCAGCTCCCATGTTTTGTTTTCTAATAACAATTTTGCTGATTTCTGTTTTTCATAATTTAACTCAGGTGTAATGTCTTTGCTGAGGCCTCTTCTTCTGGATGTGGTCCCAACAATTCAGCAGACTGCTGCTTTGGCTCTGGGGAGATTGGCCAATTACAATGATGACTTAGCAGAAGCAGTTGTGAAGGGCGACATTCTTCCACAGCTTGTTTATTCATTGGCAGAACAAAATGTAAGAATTTTTTCAAAATTAATTTATGTATTTTTGGCTTTAGATAAAATATGACAATTTTGTCACACAGTTGTGGGTTTGAGGGCATTGGGATGATTATATTATTTTGATTTGGGTGTGATAGACAGCTTCTTTCCATCATTGTTAATTTTGGGCAGTATGCAAAAGAATTTTTGCAAAGCATGCATAAAGTAGTGTGTGTGTACATGGGAGCTTTGAACAGAGCTATAGGTTCTGTCTGAAGAAGAGTATAAAGACCCTACGTGAATAAACTCTTTCTGCCATCCTTATATGAAGGTGGTTAGTGGGAAGAGTAAGTCCTGAAGGGAGAGAACACCTTTGATGAAAGTTTTGATAAGCATTTTTTTTACTAAGTAGATGAGCATTTCAAGTCATTAAATATACCCTCTGGATGTGTCCACCCCCACTCCATATGATGAAGTGTTTTTTTGTCCTCTACAGTGTTGCCAATTTAGTTTATACAATAGTTAAGAATTTAAGCATTTTAAACCATCCATTACCCTCCATTAGTTTATCACAATCTAAATATGACACTAACTTTTCTTGACATCTTTAAGACTAAATTTTCTACTTGGATAATAAAACATAGCTCAACTGAAAAGTGGGCAAAAGTCTTGAATATTTTCCCAAAGAAAATCCATAAACAGTCAACAAACATGTGCAAAGGAGCTCAGCGGCGTTAGCAATTAATACTAGAAATCAACTCTCAATGAGATAACCCCTCATATCTACTAAGATGACCATAATGAAAATAATAAAAAGGAAATAAGTATCAGTGATGATGAGAAAAATTGAAACCATATGGTGTTGGTTGTCACGTAAAACGGTACAGTTGCTGTGGCAAACCAGTTGGCAACATGATTACGATCAGTGTATTTACCATTTGATGGGGCTACTTTCTTTCCCATGCCATATCCAAAAACACTAAAACGTTGTGGCACACGTTCAGACAGCATCACTCAGGGGTCTGTGTGTGGAAACAGCACAAAGCCATCAACAATTAAATAGCTAACAGACAGAAGCACTGATAAATGTGATAGTTATGATTTCAAAACCACTTTATCAGGGATCGAAAAGATGGCTCAGTGGTTAGATCACATACTCCACAGAGACTTATTCTTACTTAAGAATGCCTGGTCTTATCTTGGCTTGTTTCTAGCCAGCTTTTCTAACTTAAATTATCCCGTTTTTCTTTAACTACATTTTGCTTCTGGGCTTTTTACCTTTTTTAATTTTATATGTCTTTCTTTCCTCCTTATACCGTGACTGGCTGTATGACTGTGTGCCTGGCCCCTGGTGTCCTCCTCTCTTTGTTCTTCTCTTCCCTAGATTTCTCCTATTTATTCTGTTTGCATGCTAGCCCTGCCTGTTTCTCTCTCCTGCCTTGCTATTGGCCATTAAGCTCTTTATTGGGCCAATCACGTGTTTTAGGCAGGTAAAATAACACAGCTTTGCAGAGTTAAACAAATGCAACATAAAAGAATGAAACACATCTATGCATCACTAAGCGAATATTCCACAGCATAAATGAATATAACACATTTTAAACTAATATTCCACAATTCTGTTCAGAATTGTTTTTGACTGTTCAGGGCTTTTTTTTTCCTATTTACAAATGAAATTTACGATTATTCTTTTCAATTTCTTTAAAAAATTGCTTTGGATTGAATTTATAAATTGCTTTTGGTGAAATAGCCACTTTCACAATAGTCATGAATATAGGAGGTCTTTCCATATTCTTGTGTCTTCTTCATTTTCTTTCTTTGAAGTCTTAAGGTTTTAATTATAAAATATTTTCATTTCCTTAGATTTATTCCAAGTTTTTTTTTTTTGAGACAATTGTGAAGGAAATGGTTCCCTGCTTTTTTGGGTATGTTTGTCCATTTGTACATAGGAAGGCCTCTGATTTTTGCATGTTAATTTTATAAATCTCTACTTTATTGGTTTATTACTGGTGGAGTATTTGCTTTTATGTATAAGATCATATCACCTACAAATAAAAGTAAGTTGACTTATTTTTCTACTAGTTTCTTATTCACTTTTCCTATTGATTTAGCTCAAACTTCAAGTACTATGTTGAAAAAGAATAGAGAGATTGTATATGTTGTCTTAGTCTTGATTTTGTGGAAATGTTTGAGTTTTTCATGATGTTGCTTGTGTGTTTGTTGTGTATTGCCTTTGTTATGTTGAACTACGTACTCTATATCCCTATATCCTCTAGGACTTCTATCCTGGAGTGATGTTGGGGTTTGTCAAAGGCATTTTCTGCATCTAGTGAGATGACCATGTGGTTTCTGTCCTTTATTTTGTTTATGTGGTGGATTACATTTATTTATTTATGTATGTTGTTGAACCATCCCTGCAACTCTTGGGTAAAGAGAACTTGACTAGGTGGATAATATTTTTATATGCTTTTAAATTTAACTTGCAAGTATTACATTGAGTTTTTTTTGTATCTATGTTCTTAACGAGTATTAGAGACATCTGGATTTGGTATCAAGGTAATGATGACTTCATAAAAAGCATATTCGACAATGTTTCCATCTTCAGCTGGATTCTTTATTAGTTTGATGAATCTTAATTTTTGCTTTTCATTGGTTGCTATGGGTTTATTTTAATTACTTAGCTCATCTTGCTTTAATTTTAATATAATTTAATAACTTATAAATTTAAAACCTTATCAATTTCTCGTAGATTTTTCCAGTTTGGTGAAATATAGATTTCTAGACTATGTCTTTATGCATCTCTGAATTTGCTCAGCATCTGTTGAAATGTTTCCATTGTCATCTCTAATTTTATTTGAATCTTTTTTATCTTTTTTGATTAATTTGTCTTGTTAATTTTTTCCAAAAAATCAATTAGTCTTCCTTTAATTGATTTTTTGTTTTTTGTTCCATTTTATTAATTTTAGCCCTGACTTTTATTATCTTTTCTCATTTACTTTTTTGGGTACCATTTGTTCTGGTTTCCCAAGGCCTTTAAGTAACATTAAATTATTAATATGAGATCTCTCCATTTTTAAATGTAGGCACTTAACGTTATAAACCTTCCTCATAAGGAAGCCTTCATTGTGTTCCATAGATTTTGGATATTATGTTTTTATTTTTATTAAGTTCTAGGAACTTTTAAATTTCTTTTTTGATTATCCCCTTATGCAACTTTCATTGATTAGTGTTCCATGACTTCTTATACTTTCTGTCATTTCTACTATTGTTTATATCTAGCTTTGCTTCTTTGTGGTTAGACCTTAAACAGAATTCAATTTCATTTTTTTAAAATTTCTTGAGACTTGCTTTGTTTCTCCTTTTGAAACTCAGTGCCCCTGTGTTTGGTGCATAGATTTTCAGAACTGTAATTCCTACCTCTCTGTATTTTTCCTTTAATGAGTATGCAATGTCTCTCCCTATCTCTTTTATTTTGTTTTCATTTGAAGTCTGTTTTGTCAGATAGTAGGATAGCTATGCTTGCTTGTTTCTTAGTTCTGTTTGCTTGGAAATACCTTTTCCCACCACCTATTTACACTAAAATGATGTCCATCACTGGTGAGGTGTGTTTTTTTTCTTGGGTGACACTGTTCCCTTGGAGACATGAACAATCATCTACTTATCACAGATAATGAACTGATGACAGACCAAAGTAAGTATATTATAAAGCCCAACTTAGTGAACCGATGACTTTTATTGGGATTACTTACAGGAATATGGGTGAGAGATTGCTTTGAGGGAACTTGCACTATAATTTTGGCCATTCCAACAGCCACCAGTGTGCTGGTTCAACACTTTTGAGACAAGACTTGAGGCATCAAGAAATTCTAATGAACCTTGATTAGTCCTGTGCTCTCTCTTCTGATTCCCTGTCCAGGACTGGTAATGCTAAGAACTCTTTTCTACTTCCCCCTTTCCTCTATTTTGTGGCACCAGTCAAGGTTTTCCTTTCATCACTATACCTGGTAATTATGTAAGTATATGCACTTTGGGGGGTCTTTTAGGAGGAGTACTCCGATTGCCACATCTAATGCCTTCATTCAACTTGAAGAAGCTAGTTCAGTCATCACTCCAATAAAAGCTATCTTTGCAGAGTTGGAGCATGATAAAAACAGGAGGAAGAAATTGACTAGTCAGTGTAGGGTAAGAATACTCCTCCCCTAGAGGTAACTAGTTTCCTTGCTAAAAGCCAGAAGTATCATTAGTCCTCTTGGCAGTCTCGTCCGTGCTAGAGATCAGAGATGCCAGAAATGTTTAGGGCTCTGATTTCTGATTTGGCTTCTAAGTCATTTTAGGGTTAAGTTTTAGACAGTAGGTGTTGGGGGATATATTAGAGTAGCAAGAAAGTCCTACGTGCTGGTTGGTTTTTGTCAACTTGATACAAACCTAGATGTTTCTGGGAAAAGGGAATCTCAATTGAAGATTGCCTGGATCACGTTGTAGGAATGCTTGTGGGGTATTTTCTTCATTAATGGTTGATGTGGAAACATTCAAACCTCTGTAGGAGGGCTGCCCCTGTCTTCTGGGTTGTATAGAAAGCATTCTGAGCAAGTCATGAAGAGCAAGCAAGTAAGAAGCTCTCCTCCATGGTTCCTGCTCCTGCTTAAGTTCTTGTTCTGACTTCCTTCATGTTTGACTGTGATACGATATGATGCCAAACCAATTTCTCTGAAGATGCTTTTTGGTCAGTGGTTCATTATACATTATAGCAACAGAAGCCAAAGCCTATTAAGGGAAAATTTCTGATAAATAGAGTAGATTCTCTGACCTGTGTGGAGACCTAATGATCCAGCCAGGCCTTCTCCATCACCTCGCAAGGGGCTGCAACTTAGAAGGTGGACTTACTTTAAGCTGTGCTAAAGAGATAGGCAGAATAATTTATTCCATGTCTTAGGGGCTTTGTCTAGAGGCTCGTGGAGATTTCTGTACCAAGCAATTGCCATTCACTTATTACAACAATTTGTCTCTACCAGAGACCACAAATTTACATGATCT